GTTATGCATGCACAAACATACAGACTGCCAAAACATATCTTAAGTTTTTCTAAATCCATGTACTAGCAAAACCCCGGCTAATTATTTATTTATTTAATATGTTTCATGCACAGAATTTTTATTTCTAGAGTTTTGTTAATGTATAGATTTGGTATCATAACAGTCGGACAAGTATGTATTTAGAAATAAATTTTCCTTGTAGTGCCAACTAGAAAGTATTGCAATAATAGATAAAACTGTGTGACAATGTCGGTGGTTGCAGTGAGGAGTGGGTGGCGGCCATCCGCTACGTGTCGTCGGCGCTGTCGGCGGGCGGGCCCAGCGCGGCGGCCGCGGGGCTGCCGGAGAGCGACGACCGCGACATGGCGCAGCTCGGCACCAGCTTCCGCGACCCGCGCCGTATTGTATGTAGTCGCCGTCACCACCTCCGTCTACTCTTTGGCGGGCTGTTAATTCATATATTTCTCTTTTTCTGTAGACCCTTGAGAAATTCGAGTTCGTCAAGGTTCTAGGCAAGGGCACGTTCGGCAAGGTGGTGCTGAGTCGTGAGAAGGGCACGGGCAAACTGTACGCTATGAAGATTCTCAAGAAGAACCTCATTATCCAGAAGGACGAGGTGGCGCATACCATCACCGAGAACCGCGTGCTCAAGAAGACCAACCACCCTTTCCTCACGGTACGAAGCAAGTCACTATCTACTTGTAATCACGTTAAATTCATTTAACAACTCAGTAGTTACCACGTTATTATGTAAGTATGTGCGTTGTACGCGGAACGGAAACAATTCAATCAAACTACACCTGGGACTCTCACTGCCTCAATACTGTATGCGGTATGGATCCCAACTATGCACCCACTACACAATGTTATGGGGTGATGTCTTGAATTGTGTGAATAGATGTTGTTGAGGTTCGATGTTTGCTTTTTTTTGTTTGTTCGCCGATTACTTCGCCAATTGGGTAGTTTCCTGAGTCACAATAAATTATTTTAACTTCTTCAATAAAATTAAATAATATTTAAAAGTAGTAACACTTTCATTATTTGATTTGAAGATATACTTAATTTTCGACTCGATTTGCTATTTCACAACAAATTCATGAAAAAGTATCGTTTTTGACATAATGATCGATAACAATATTGAATTTTACTAGTCGTCAACTACCGAATTATGGACCGAGTTTCAAAATTCTTTTGTTCTTTGCATGGTTATATTATACTCCCGAGAGGGTCCCATTTTCACCAGGTCAGGATCTGATGATGTGACCCACAGATATATATGAGACCAACTATTGGGAATCCACCATAATAAACGCAATGTGTTGCTTCTGTAATCAAAACATTTTTAACATAACATCACGCCTTTTATCCCCGAAGGGGTAGGCAGAGCTGCACATTATACACTGTACAATGTAACACCCACTTTTCACTATTTATGTTATGAGTCCCATGTAATAGGGGGTGAACCTATTGCCATTCAAAACATTTTTATTGAACCAAAAATTTACATTAAAAACGAAACTAAACTTTACTCACAATTAAACATACAAAACATACCTGTAATCAAAAGAAACGACATTTAAACTTTATTACTGGGCATGTCGATTCCCGTATTATATTTAAGTACTATTTATTGTTAATTTGTTTATTCAATATCTTGTAACATTTAAACGTCCATTCGAAATCTTTTATTTTCCGTCTCTACCGTTAAAGAAACAATGGAGGTGATAGCTCCATCTATCATCCTTCTAAATAAACTTTTACTTTACCGACAGAGACGTGCAGAAAATAAATAAAGAAACCTTATTTCTTTATATATATTAAAGAAGGAGATATGGTGTAGAGTCAAAAATGTACGCAAAACCGGTAAAGCCACAACTGCCCCTCCATAAAACTAATATCACACACAGTTCTGACTAAACAATACTATGAATAAGTGCACAAGCGCGGCATCGATAACTCAGTAATTCAAATATAAGCCTTATTCTTTAAACGACAGCGAACATTGTCCTATGATTTACTCACACTAAAACAATTTGTCACTGTGTGTTAGGTGCGGGATCTACCGTCGCGTCGCCGTAGTGACTTGACGATATCGATAGCTCCCGATAAAATTACAAAGGTTTTGGAAATAAAGTAAACGACATGAAACCAACAAAATATCATTTAATTATTAGAAAACATTTTAATTTAAAAAAATATTACAAATCAAACAACAACTTGTATGTAGTTATATTGATAAAATTGAGCTTTGAGGAACGATTAAAAATATTAAAATTTATTTCCTCGAAGCGCTCCCATGATTAACTTTCGGATAGAGATGGAACGTTAATTGAAATTATCGATAAGAACTAGGTAATAAGTAGAACACATTGTTATAATATGCAACTAGCGGTCCGTCCCGGCTTCCCACGGCTTTGGTAATTATAATTTTTTTGTTTTATTGTAAATCCTTTAGTCCACCAAATAGATAAATATAATCTGCCGACATATGTAAGGATTCGATGACATAAGAAAGATAATAAGGACTAAGCGCTCCCAAAAGGAGCGCCTAGAGGAATAAAACGGGAGCGCATAGATGGGCGCGCTTCAAAACGGGAGCGCTACGAGGAATACCTCATAAAATTTGGATAAGGAGGTATCGCATTCTTGGTTAATTAATGAAGTTTTAATGTTATTTATTTTTCCATGGCTGCTTTTATTAATAATATTATGTGGTTATTCATTGGTGAGTGCTCTGTGACTACAAAATTAACTATGCAATCATTATAATGATACAAAGATAATGGTTCATTTATGAAAATTAAAGTAAAATACTATAACCATTACAAGTGAACTATTTGTAGTCGACTTTCTTGTCGATAGACTTTGAGATATATCTCCACGACCAATCACTATCTCGCTCAAAGACGGCGGACCTGGGGGCTTACTCTTGAATCCAATTCCGATCGATCGACATTGGTATTATAAAGTTTCGTACTCAATTGAGTTGCAACACTAGCGCCCATTGCATCCGTATTGCGTGGATATTGATTGAACTGAATGGTATTGAGTTCGGCTTTATATTCCGTACTCTGAATGCTATTTTAATAGCTACAGTAGGGGTTGTATAGTTTTGACATTGAATAATTCTGATTGGTTTCAAGAGTAAGCACCCTGAGCAGCGGACGCACCATGTGACATCGCGTCTTGATGAGCGTCTCGTTAAGCCACTTTTACATTGCTGGTTTAGTTACTCAGTATCACACTTTTTTTTAAGGGGGGAAAATCATCGAATGACTGCTCCCGCCTGGGTGAGGCGGGAGGGAGTGTCAGACTCCTACTGACTAAAAACCACCCCGTTCCTTCTCCTGCGCCAAACCACTGCACAAGCCGGCATTTTATAGTTTGTTGTACGAACGCGGGTGACAACAAATTAACTCGCGGTGACGGCCATATTTTTGTACATTGAGCGGAACGCTCAAGTGCGAGCGTCACCGACACGCCCCCTTGCCACTTCTCCTTTTTTAATATTTCTGTGATGTGACCGTAGTGAAAACGAGGAGAACTTTTAAAAATTGTAGGGGCGAATAATGCGTGTGCTATCTTTTTCAATAAATATTTTTAAGTATTACAATTTGATGAGGGTCTGGACTGGATTCGATTTGATGATGGAGCCGACAGCCGAAGGAACTCCTGAATGGTTTACAGTAACTACCTTGGAGCTGGATTGTCATTAAGGGTCTGATGATGAAGAAGTCTAATTATCAAGGGTTAACAGTAGGTATCTGACGTTTGGGTTTGATTAATTTGTATTGATGAGAACTTTACTCCGATGTGAGTTACAAGTTAGTAGTATGACAATGGCCTTGTATTAGATAAAATAGTAAGAAAACTGCGTTTGAAAAACCGACTTCAAAGCCTAAAAACAAACAAAAGTAATCTAAGCAAAAAAATATATATATATATATATGAGTCATAATTATGTACCCAGTGAGAGGTTAGAAGTTGGAGCCGCAAGCCCATAACAAAATAAACTCAATGGTGAAATAATAAACAGCTCAATGTAAGATTAACATCGTGAGACGAACTAAATTACCTATCACTGTATTTAGTTTTTGAAGTCGATTTTTCAAATGCAGTTTTTATACTTTTTAGTTTAGTACAAGGCCGTATCGAGTCGTCATACTATGCGACACCCTCCTAGGTACGGAGGATATTTCGTGTTATACTAATTCCGCACTAAATACTTGTCTTTTTGTCCGTCTATTTGTACCGCAATGTAAATAAAACATATTTCATTATGACGCGGTGCTAGTGGCTTTTGTGTAATATGTGATGCGTGCGGCGCAGGCCTTGCGCTACTCGTTCCAGACGGCCGACCGCGTCTGCTTCGTCATGGAGTACGCCAACGGCGGCGAGCTCTTCTTCCATCTCTCGCGCGAGCGATCCTTCTCCGAGGAACGCACGCGCTTCTACGGCGCGGAGATAGTCTCCGCGCTCGGGTACCTCCACGCCGAGGGAATCATCTACCGCGACCTCAAGCTGGAGAACTTGTTGCTGGACAAGGACGGACACATCAAGATCGCGGACTTCGGCCTCTGCAAGGTCAGTCGCCGCCCGCCCGCCCGCC